AGGAGGAGGAGGGGTAGTGGTAGGAGGAAGAGTAGTGGGAGGAGGAGGAGTAGGAGGAGTGGTAGGAGGAAGAGTAGTGGGAGGAGGAAGAGTAGTGGTAGGAGGAGGAGGAGGGGTAGTGGTAGGAGGAAGAGTAGTGGGAGGAGGAAGAGTAGTGGGAGGAGGAGGAGGGAGACATTCAAATGTCAGTGAGACTGTGGTTTTTATCAGCTTGGAACCCATCATTACAGTGAGCAGTGAACACCTCTCTGTTTCTGCAGTCGTGATGCGTTCAGGACCCTCAGCTCTTTATCTCCACTGTGTACTTGAGTGAAATGTGCAGAGTGAACAGACTTGATGTCCAAAGTGTGTGCCGGTGTGTGAGCTTGGAGCTCAGTGTGTTCACTCCAATACGTTAAGATTAGAGCTGAAGGGACTGAAGTCCTGCTGCTCTTTCTACTGAATGTACTGCATCACTTACTGACAGCTGATGAAGGGACTCTCTGCAAACACTCATTCATCGCTTCTTCTTCTTCTCTCCTCAGATGGAAGAGATCTCACTGGAAGTGAGTCCACCATCATCTCTGTGATCCTCTGGATCTGATCAGAGGATCACAGAGGATCTGGACTCCTCACTCCACCTGGACCTGGATTTAGTTTAGTCCTTTGGTTCCTTCATGTGTTCTGACCCTAAAGTGTCTCTGCAGATGAGTTGTGTTCATGACAACATGACAGCAGATGAACACATTTAAATGGATGTTTCTGCTTTGCTTTCTGTTGCAGCTCCTCCCTGTGGAACGATGGAGTTCTGCACTTTATTTACTCATATTTCTCAGTAACAGTGGGAGTTGATATCACATGTATGAAGTTACCTTATTACCACCAATACCAGCCACTTCTCATGTTATAACAGACTCAGATTAGCTTGTAACAAACAGGAAGAGAAGATAAAACCTGAACCTGAACTCAATAAATACATAAATATATCTTTTATTTTCATGTTTTCATTCCATCTTCACATCATGTTCATCGTAGTTTGTTCTTTGTACTTTAGTGATCTGTTGTATTTAAAGTTACTACGAATAACTTTAATTTAGTGAAAGAAGACCACCCACTGTCAGAGTGGAGCTCAGAAAACAACCTTCTGCTCAACGTCAGTAAAACCAAGGAGCTGATTGTTGATTATATAAAAAAGGAGGTGAAGACATCTCTGTCTCCATCAATGGAGCTTCAACAGCTTTACGTTCCTGTGAATCAGCATCACAAACAACCTGACGTGGTCCTCACACATCTCCATCCTGGAGAAGAAAGACTGTATTCCTGAAGGAAACTCAAGAAGTTCTTGTTAACTTTGACAGAGGAGCAACAGAAGCATGACCAACTGTCATGAGAGATCAGGGTCCAGGACAGGAGAGCTCTCCATACTTTTTGGATATATATTTATATTTATATTGTAGTCGTTAAATATTTATGCTTACATCTGTTCAACTTTTTTAGTTTTTTGTTTTTGTTGTCCCTGTCTGTTATTTTTCTTAAATATATTTACATTTTGTTCCTGTTTATTTGTAAATTCTGTGCATGTACGTGGAGAGCAACGAAAAACCGGAGTCAAATTCCTTGTATGCGTATGCGTAAATGGCCAATAAAGCTGATTCTGATTCTGATGTATGTACAGCTGAAATATTGAAGTATGACTCTAAAAAGCTGTATTTGCTTTACTTGGAAGATGTATCACTGGAATATGTTATAGAGTTTAGTCATCATTAAGCTTTTAATAACTGGGGGAAAAAATGGGGCAGACACAGCAACCCTAAATAATACCCTGAAATAAGTTCCATCTTTCTGAAGCTTTTAAGGTTCAGTTTCCGTTGACAATTTGTCAGAGAGGCATTCACTAAACTCTATGGACGTTTGTATTAAATATATAATATTTCTATGGTTTGAAACTGAACTTCATATTGTCAACAAAACGTTACATAATAAGCTTCAAAATGCTTACATTTATTATATTATTTTGCATATGGTGCAAAACGTTCTGAATAATTTTGAACCAGGAAACATTCCTGTTCATGGAAATCCATTCACTCACTTCACCTTCAGCTGAATGAGCAAGATTACAGCAATCACAGCAGATAGGGCTGATAGTGAGCTTTCTGCATTCAGGTGTGAAAGGTAAACAAAAAATAAACAAAGACAAAAGACCTGTGTGAAAAATGGCATCACATCAAACATTGTCTTACTTTGTTTATGCGGAGATATGATTTGAAGATATATGGGTAAATAGATATAGATAGATTCCCTCTTATTCATTTCTTGGACATTTTAAACCATTTCTCTCTGTGATCCATCTTTCCTGTAGCTTTTTATTATTTTATTTTTCAGAGAAGATTTGTAGACTATTTGTTATTTTCAACGTTGTGTGTTTTAAAGTTTGTTGTGCAAGTTTATCTATTCCCTCATTGACTAGAAACTCTGCTAAAGCCTTTACA